GGGGCTCGTCCAAGGGCAAGAGGGCCAAGTAGGAGGGGGGTTGGAGGGGCACAGATGTTGGCTGCCGTTGAGGCTGTCACCTCCACGTCCCAGTGGCAGCTGCCATTGTTTAACGCATGGAGCCGTGGGGGGTGGTGTGGTGATGAGGGGAGGGGGGCAAACACTCATACACCCACTATGTCACATGTACATATGTCAAGTGCATAATGCCTCACTATTGGTTCCAGGCCAGATACAAAATCCATTAATCCCTCGAGAGCCTGTCTGTGGTCATGTTTGTGCTAGCAGGCAAGAATGAGATCACTAGAATGTTGCTTGGACAACAAGATAAGAGACAGAAAGGAAAAAAAAAAAAGGAAAGAAAATAACATCGGAACAATCTGAGAGCAACAGAAAGAAAAAAAATGGATGGAAGATAAGAGGCTAAAGGTCAGTAAGAGGAGGTGTTTGGATGTGGTTTTACCTGGCGTCCCTCGTTCCTCCAGAGGCCGTTGCTTGTCTTTGTTGGAGCAATGGTGACTACAGGTGGAGTGTTTGGCACGCTGTGGCCCGCCGGGGGGACCAGGACAGGCCCTGGACCGAGGGGGCCCCTCTTGGGAGTGCTGACTGGAGAGCTGTGGTTGGTGGCCGGGGAGGACACTGGAGAGGACTCACTGCTGATGGAGGACGCAGCTGGAGAAAGACAGAAAAATCACATGAGCAGCGTGAAAGAAACCACATATGTTATCTATATAAGAGTACATAGTTTTACTGATAAAAGGCAAATATAACAACGCTAAAATCCAATGACACCTTCACAAGGTAATGAAAGGAGGTTGCAGCAGTGTAACAGCAGCGCACAAACACACACACACACACACACACACACACACACACACACACACACACACACACACAGGCAGATGGATGGCCCTCGGCCCTTATTATGAAGTGACAGTGATCAGAATGAGCGGCCCTGTGACAGTCACACAGCCTTGACATGCAGGACACACACACACCACAAAAACACACAGCTTGAGAGAGAAAAGCCACACTAGACGTGTATACAGTCAGTGTCGTTTTCAGCAACACACAGGCCCCCCTCCACAACACACACACACACACACACAGCAGGTGGTGAAAGGCTAGCCCAATGAGCTTCTCTGCTGCTCTGTACTATAGCTGTGCCACATTAACAAAGCCCTCCAGGGAAACCCAGGGTCACGGTCTGGTCGCATGCCTCGCTTTCTGCACATCTCGCTTTCTCTCGCACAGCCATATGATATGCTCACATTCACATACTTATATCATTGCAATTTCATCTTTCCAAATGTATATGTTTACCCCCCCCCCCCCGCATGATGCACATTCTCTTCCTCTATCTGCTTTGTTCTTGAGTATTCTTCCTTCCATTTTCTTCCTTCATCTTTCTCTTGGCTTCTCCTCTGTTTCAACCTTTGTGTTACACATTTCTCATTTCTTCTCTTTTTCTCTCCCAGCCTCCTCCTCTTCTCCTGACAGTACAGTCTGCTGTGAGCCTCCTCTGCTCAGAGCGAGGCGTACCCAGCGTTACACAGTCAAACTGGGTCACAACCCTCTCAATGGGACACACACTTCAGTGCTGCATCAAGGACAGCAGCCCATGTGAGCTTTGTTGTGTGTGCATGTGCAGGTAGTGTGCTTTTGTGCATCATCAATGTGCTTGCATGCAGCCATGAGGAAAAAAAGGCAGCTGAAACCTCAGGCCAGTTTCAGGTCTACTTCCTCTCCAATTATCACCATCAGAAAAAAAAAGCAACCACAGATCTCCACCCAGACGCCATTTCTTCTCTGTTTCCGTGGCAACGTAACCCTAACAGACGACGTCCCCGGATTGGTGGGTGCAGCCGGGGTATCGACCGAATTTAAACACCTCATTCTGACTAATACTACTAAATAATGGAAAGAATCAATAGTGGCAGCGAGGTGACGCTTAAGAGAAAATCTGAAAATCTATGTCTGAGTGTGAGGAGGTGGGGCAAGGAGAAAAAGATGTGTGAAGAAAAGCTGGTGATGATACATGTGAGGTGAGACATGAAAATGAAAAATGATAGAGAGATGGGGGAGAGATGGGGAGGGGGGACAGCTAGTGAGAGGTTGAAAAGAAGGTGCGGTGGAGGTGAGGCGAGAGATGGGAGCAGAGGGGAGAGCGGAGAGATAAGAGGTGCAGATGGGTGAGTGGGTGGCAGGGACGGGGTGAGGGATATGGTGGGAGGGTGGGCGTGGGGGGCATATCTTGTCTGCACAATGGCAATTAGTGGCTTAATGCCCCCCACACCACCGCATCCCACACCTCACCTCGGAGAGCCATTACTCTGCCCTGCAAGACTAGGCCAATCAATAGCAGCCCACTCAGCCTGGGGAATGGGTGTACACTTAATACAGCTCTAGTGTCACAGCCTATTCACTCACCACACACACACAACATGCATACACAAGGATGGGGGAACAAATAGGGCTTGAAGGAAGGGGGGAAGTAGAGAGGAGAGGAGGGGCAGTGATCACAGTGACTCTGAACTGCTAAGCAACAGACCTCTGCTCCCATCTATTTCTCTCACCCCCACCTTCCCATCTTCTCCTCTTCCTCC